ACAGCGGTCGTCGCAGGGTTACACCTTCAGTCTTGGTTCCGGCTCTGTCTCGTGGCGGGCTACTCGCTCGTCCTCTGTTCTCAGCTCCAGTTGTGAGGCTGAGATCTACGCCGGGGCCATGGCTGCACAGGAACTTCGCTGGCTCACCTACCTGCTGACTGACCTTGGAGAGCCGCCTCGTTCTCCTCCAGTGTTGTACGTAGACAACAAGGCCATGCTGGCCTTGTGTCGAGAGCAGCGCTTGGAGCACAGAACGAAGCACATTGCTCTCCGTTACTTTCTTGCTCGTGAGCTGCAGCAGCGTGGTCAGTTGCGACTTGCGTACGTGGCCTCTGAGGCCAACACTGCTGATGTGTTCACCAAGGCACTTGCGCCTTGTGACCATCAGCGCTTCTGCACCCAGCTGGGTCTTGTACCTGTCTTGCCTCACTTGCTCTCTTCTTGACCTTGCTTGTACTGTCACATATATATACCTGCTCTTGCTTGTCTAGCTCTATATATATATGTGTACTCCTGCATGTGAACTGGCCCTGTTGCCCTGTCGTTGTGCTCGGACTGTGTGGTGACTTTGTGATCCACCCTGAGCTTGCTCTGCTTTGCTTGACTGGTCTTGTGACCCCTTGTTCTCCCCCACTTTGCCTATGGGGGTGTGTCAGAACATATATATAGCTTATGCTGTTGTGTAGGCTATAGTGGGGTATCCCATAGGGGGTACAACCCAATTAGGGTTTCCCATATGTACTCACTTCATTCTCGTTCTACTTTTCTCATGGTCTTGTGACCCCTTGTTCTCCCACACTTTGCCTATGGGGGTGTGTCAGATTTATATGACATAGCTACTGTAGGCTATAGTGGGGTAGCACATATGGGGTACAGTTTTCTAGGGTTTGCTTTTTGTACCCAACTTTCACTTAGTCATTTCATTCCTCGTTTCTTCTCATGTAACACATCACTTTGAGGGCGTACCAGCTCGTGTTGACTGTACGCGCAGGATGTGAGGTCCTCGAAAGTCAACCTAAGCCGAAATGGATGTGGCCTCGCTGCAAATTTGAAATTCGTTACCATTTTTATCAAGGATTTAAATTTATAATTTCACATTCGCTTATAATATATCAAGGTTTTATAAGGGGTGCGCTTATAAATGAGGATCGGCCATAAGCGCATTGCTCCAGATATAAGCGCATGCGCTTTTAATAGGCCTGCGCTTATATCCGGGGTCATACGGTAACTGGCTCGCTATTGAGCAGTTACCCGAGTCGTCGCTACATCGAACCGCATTAGAAGTTACAGTTGCAGGTAGTAAAACCTTTCATATTCCCTGATGTAATCATATAAAAGTGATGTATCTCTTTGTTATAATTAACTCATCTTGTTCTCACACACCAGTGCAAGGTGGTTCAATCAGTCTCACTAAGATGCTTCCGCTACCGTAAACCCCCGTATATAAGACCCTAGGGTATTATGATAATCTGGCCTCAAAAAGTCGGGGGGTATAATTAAATGGTATATATTTTATAAGACCCACGTCATCTCGAACCCTATCTGGGAGCCTCCTCCCATTAGCCACAAACACCACTTGGTGTTCACATGAGCGAGAAGGGAACTGTTTGATGGGCCCAGCGCGCAGTGTCGCCTCGACCTTCACACCCTATGCACGCTTCGTGCGTGCCTGGAAAGGGCGGGATCTTCAGACACACCTACTATCTTCTGGCACGTCCTTGTTTGTGAGGGCTGTCTTCACTTCCCCCTCTTGTTTCTTCCCCCCTTACTGTGCTCGGCTGGCTGCCGCGTAGAAGATGGTTGCATGATCCATTTTCACCTCGAAACTAGCAGCCACTTTTTCCCCACTTTAGCCGCCATGGTGACATCACCAGATACTGGGACGTCCGGTGCTCGACGCAGGCGCCGCAAGAAAGTTCAGAAGCCTCCTGTTCCTAGGCCGTCGCCTAGGCCCGTCATGCCAACGCCAAGTTCCTCTAGCAGCGAGGAGACGGATAAGAAGCCCAGCGGGAGCCCACGCCGTCCGCTTCCGCAGGTGAAGGTTCCCGTGTTTCCGGAATCAAGCCGACCGCGGGGACAGAAGAAGCGGGTGCGCGACGCAGAGACGCCGGAGCCAAGGCGCCGACGAACGCAGAAGGCGCGGAAAGCTTACACCGTTAAGGAGAAGCTTTACTGGCTCAATAGCCTGCCGGTTTCCGTGAGTCTGCTGCAAAGGTGGGCGGCGACCTCCATGAAGCATCGCCACCCCCAGGCGAAGTGGTGTTCGTCCCACCGTTGGACAAAGAGGTTCCGCAGGCGGTGGTCCCTGGCGCAGCGCATGAAGACAAAGATCGGGCAGAAGCTAGCTGCAGGTACCTTGACCTCGGCCTTCCCGAAGTTTTCAGATGTAAAGTCGTACCATATCCATCTGGCCTGACTCCCCCTTATCCCGTGCGATGCAGATTGAAAGTAGAGGTGCGAGGCCTTCTCGGAATTCGTGAGGCAGATGCGCGTGCTCAACTCCTACCCCTTCAACCTGATCGTGAACGCGGATCAGACACCCCTGTTCCTTGAGATGCCTGCCGAGCGCACCCTCGAGATGAAAGGCGCTCGGACAGTGCACGTGCGCACCGCGGGGTACGAGAAGCAGCGCGTCACGATCATGCTGGCAGTGACCGCGGGCGGCTTGAAGCTCCCTCCGTATGTGGTCTTCAAGCGGAAGACCTTGCCGAAGATCCCCATACCCCGAGGTGAATTGTGACTTACCGGATGTTCTGCCGGGGTTTGGTGAAGGAATTCCACCGCTAATGTTTCTTTTTGTTGTGCATGTGTTGTCGTGCGAGCCCAGGAAAAGGGCTGGATGGACGAGAACCTTGTCCAAGACTGGACAACGAAGGTTCTCGTCCCCTTCCTGAAGCCGCACCGCGAAGAGGAAAGGCAGCGCAAGGATGCGCTCCTCATCCTCGACTCCTACTGAGGGCACACCACGGAAGCAGTCGGCCAGACGATGAAGCTGTTCAAGCTCACGCGCGCGGTGATCTCTGGCGGTTGCACCTCGCTGGTGCAACCCCTGGACGTTTCGGTGAACCGCAGCTTCAAAGCCGGGGTTCGCCACCGCTACTCCACGTGGTTCCAGGATGAAGGGATTGAGTCTTTCACCCCTGCAGGTGAGCATGTGAGTTGTACCCGTTTCACTGTGTGCCTTGACCGTGTGGTGACTCACGTCTGCCCCTACCCGTGACATTTCCTGCAGGGAATTTGAAGAAACCTCCCCCGAAGAAGGTTCTCTGCTGGATTGCGGAGGCCTGGGCCGACGTCCCAAAAGAATTGATCAAGAAAGCCTTCGTGACCTGCGACATCTCCACCGCCGTTGACGGGAGCGAGGATCATCTGATCCTCGCTCACCTCCGCGATAAGGCGGAGGTGGAGGTGCTGGAGGATGTGTGCGAGGAGGAGCTCGAAGAGCTCGTCCCGAACCCTTTCTACCCTGACCCTGCTGCCCCTTCGAGCAAGGACAGGGATGCTGCCTCCTCTCCAGCGGAGGAGGAGGAGGAGGAGGAGGAGGAGGAGGAGGAGGAGGAGGAGGAGGAGGAGGAGGAGGAGGAGGAGGAGGAGGAGGAGGAGGATGAGGAAGAGGAGGAGGAGGAGGAGGAGGAGGAGGAGGAGGAGGAGGAGGAGGAGGAGGAGGAGGAGGAGGAGGAGGAGGAGGAGGCGGAGGAGGAGGAGGAGGAGGAGGAGGAGGACACGGAAGAGGAGGAGGACACGGAAGAGGAAGAGGACACGGAGGAGGAGGAGGACGAGGAGGACGAGGAGGAGGGTGAGGAGGGTGAGGAGGAAGGCGGTGTGGAGGTTATTACGTCCGCTGCAATTTACTCTCTGCAAACCTTACTGAGGTAACGCTAGGCACGATCAACTTTCTGATCGTAACAGTACCAACTCCCCCTTGGTTGCTAACAACTCCTCCTTGGTTGCTAACAACTCCTCCAGGGTTGCCACCAAATCCCCCTTGGTTGCTTCCAAATCCCCCTTGGTTGCTACCAACTCCCTCTTGGTTGCTAACAAATCCCCCATGGTTGTTGCCAATTTCCCTTTGGTTGCTAACACCTCCCCCTTGGATGCTAATAACTCCCCATTGGCTGCTAACAACTCCTCCTTGGTTTCTAACAACTCCCCCGTGGTTGCTGCCAAATCCCTTTTGGTTGCTGCCAAATCCCTTTTGGTTGCTGCCAACTCCCTTATGTCTTCCACCTGCACGCCAAGTGCTCTCATCATCTCTATCGCTTCTTCCCACTCCTGCGATCCGGCCATACTCGCCGCGACAGATGAACCAACCTCTCCCACTCTCTGCATCCCATAAGCAGCAGAATCGCAGCAAAGAAGGCGGCAGCAATTGAATGTGAATGCAAGGGCGAGGGTGGAGGGTTGAAAGACAAGGGCACACGAATAAGTCCGAAGCGATGGAGGGGAAGCAGGTAAGCTTGGAGGCGGCGGAGAAGGGGAGTGAAAGTGTGGCTAAAGTGAAGCGGGCACGAGGGCACAAGGGGTGGAAAGACAGATGGAAACGGATGATTTTGAGAGGAGGAAGCATGAGCGGACGGAGAGTGGAAAGGGGCAAGGACTGGGCGAGTGGGGGAGCAGGGCATGGGGTGATGGAAGAGGATAAATAAGATGCACTACGAATCTGGTGAGAGGTGAATGGAGACATGCACGTAACTGCAGCCGTGGTACCAGCAGCAGCGGGGGAGGCACGCAGAAATGGATAGCGAGCGGCTATAGCACCCAAAGGCGAAAGCCCTCTCTGGTGGGAGAGAGAAAGACAGACGAGCCTAGTACATGCACGGGTGAGGCGCATGTGAGAAAGTTAATAGGTGCACGGTGAGTCCGCACAGCATATCCGCCTCGCCCCACAGCATTCCCGCCCTGCCTCGCCGGCACAGCATTTCTGCCCCGCCTCGCCCCACAGCATACCCGCCTCAGAAGAAATTGATGCTGCCCACCTCACAAGATGATAGCAGAACAACCTTTGACTGGCGGGGTGGCTGAAGCGTGAAGCACGATTTGGTGAGGGAATGAGCAGCTGAGGAGGTGAGCGGCTGTGGGTGGAAGAAGGCATGGGATGAGACGCAGACGCATGGGAGAAGAAAAAAAGGAGATGGTGAATTATACAGCAAGAAACCAGGCTCCCAGACAGCAAGCAAAGGATCTCTTTGAATGGATCACTCATCCTAACGATTGATAGAAATGAACAAACACAATTTTGGTGTCAGCCAAAGGTGATAATTTAGTACAGAAGATCACGACAACAAGCAGAGGCAAGTAAATAGGAGCAGATTCGTGGAATTAAATAGGACATGAAAAGATCTGATTATGAGGCAAGCTAAACTGAAAAGGGATAACAAAACTAGAAACATGGGAAGTGAGGAGCAGTTAAGGGACGGGAGGAGCACGGCTTCCAAAGTGGGACAGGGAAGAGGTGCTGTGGTGGGGCAGCACTGACATCAGACACACGGGAAGCGAAGTGGAAGACACGGGCACGAGAGAGGTGCAGCGGAAGCACGGACAACGGGATGGCCGTGCATACCTGGTGCGTGGAAATGACGAGTGGGCCAGATGGCAGCAGCGAGGCGCCCGTTGGGAGTCAGACGCTTCTCCGCGAACAGATTTATGAATTTTGCAGCCGAGGACGTGAGGGGAAGAACGGTTCTGAAGAGCAACGCCACACGACGAAATGAAATGGAGAAGAACTTTGCTGAAAAGAGGACCTGGCAGGAGGAAGCGGATCAACAATCGTCGCTGGCTGACTTGAGTTCAAAGGAAAGACCGCGAGCAAAGAAGCAGGGGGGACGAGGGGTATGCCAGGCAAGATTAAGGGGAAGAGCAGGACACACGGGAAGTTTGATAATGGACGTGGAAAAGGTGAGGCAGTAAACGGATCCAGGAAAAACGGATATAGAGAGTCAGGAGAGCGGATCCAAGGGGAACGGATCCAGGGGGAACGGATCCAGGGGAACGGATCCAGGGGGAACGGATCCAGGGGGAAAAGAATCCAAGGGTGAGCAAATCCAAACGAATTCATGCAAAGCGGATCCAGGGGGAACGGATTCAGGCAGAGCGGAGGGGAAACGGATTCAGGGGGAACGGCAGGACATGGTGCAGTGGACGACCACTCACAGTAGGCTAGTGTGTGGTTGTGGCGCGCCAGATGGTGACAACGAGCTGCCAATCCGAAACAAGGCACTTCTTAGCCAAGAGAGTTGCAGTGGTCCAGATCAGCGGCGGAAGAGGAGAGAGGGTGAGGAGGAATGACACGAGGAGAGGAGAAAAACTAGGGAATATTTCGGAATCTGGAGCCAGGGAAAACAGGTCGGAGGGAATGGATATAAAGATTGGGGTTTTGACTCGGAGAACGAGAGCAGGCAGAGGAGGGAAGGGGACACGAGAGAGGAGAGGAGGGAGGCATCACGTCACATCATGCATGCTAGGAGCCATCCATGGAGCTCACCGTTTGCCTCTCAGCTCTCCGCCCGTCCCCGCCGTGAAGCAGCGCTGTTCCACCAACCATCCCATCATCTCGTGTGCGATGAGCAGCCGCAGCGTGCGAGGCTGCACCACACGTGGGCAACGCATGCATTGGGTTGATCGCGAACGCGTTTCGAGGCATTGGGATCATTTGGGGCCAATCGCTACCCTAGCCCGCCTTCAGCTCGCTTCACCCTGTCAATCGCAGTGCCTTGAACTTGCATGTTGGATCTCGCACTGAAAACTGAACGAAACATAGACCTAAACGTGGCTTCATCGCGTTGGACAGCCGAGGCGCGTTTGCGCGCGAAAGGCTACTGTTTCTCGAATTTGGTCGTTCTCGATGGACTAACACGTGGCGGCATAAACGGCTATCGAATATGCACGGTAAGACCCGTGCTTGCTGGCGCGGATCTAGCTGTTGGCGAACAGAACGTAGCGTTTAGCGTTAGTTATTACTGGCAGCGAGTAGCGGGGAAGACTGTGTGGAGGAAATTGGTGACTCAGGTATTGCAATGTGAAACGCCCGTCGAGTTCAATCTGTGCTTCTTAGCTGTTACCATCCCAGCGTTCGCAAAGCACCGAATCTGCTCGCGAATTGAGCAGTGACGGGAACTTCGTTGAGTTGAGACCTTATGTGCAAGTCCATGTGTTGTTCTCATTTCACCCCACGCATGTGCCTTGAGCGAGGTACAACGCCAGTGCCATTTCTCCTTCCTCACCAGTTTAGGATTTGCGAACGTATTTGCATTTCGGAAGCGCAGTTTCGCTCACGTGACGACATTTGTACGTAGCTGGTTATTGCACTTCGTACACACATCGTTGAATGAGATGAATTCTGGTACCCTGCGTGACGCTTTGAAACGCAGCACGCTGCACGAGTCACAAGGTGAACCATTCAAAATCGCTGTGACGGAAGGCATACTACTGCCATAGCCATCTTATTAGCAGTGCTGGAAGTCACTAAACTTCTGCCTATTAGCAGTATATTAGCATCGTTGCTTGGCGTTACTACGTATCGGTGGCGCATATTCAGATTTCGAAGTCGCGTCGCAGTTAGTACCAGTCATACGGCTCAGCCTGGTATTTCTCCGCTTCCTCCTCACGCATTATCTGATCGTTTCAAAGCCATCTCATCTTCTCGCGGCGTGAGATTCTCGCAGCACCTCAGATCGTTTGGCGAACCGTAGTGCGTGCGCCTAGAAGGCGTCATTGCCTCTCCTATCCTCACGGCATTCCAATCTGCGAAACCAAAAAACAGTTCTGAGGTAACCAAGTTCGATTATTCCGCTCGTACACCGGCACTGCTCATTTCCCTCCATTCATCGTTTCGAGACCTTTGGCCTACCCTCTGTCCCTCTCGTCTTTTACCTCCAAACGGTCTCCATGCCACGTTCCCAGAGTTAGCGCAAACAGAAATATGCAGTTGTCATGCATGGCGCCACGCCTCCGTGCTCTTATCCGCGCAATCTGACGCCAATCGTGTAATCAACCACTTCTGCATTGCCAAGAAACGAGTATCAGTAGCATAGAATACTTGCCCGGTCCCGCTCATCCCACTGCCTTACTTCCCTTCCAACACTCAGTCCCCCTCATCCAGCTGCCTTCCTTCCCTTCCAGCAATTACAGTATTTCCAAGCCTCGCCACCACCACGCACTGCTGATCGACTGTCCCCGCGCCGCCGCTGCTGAGTCGCTTCGCGAGACGTGGAAAACATCGACACTCGAAAAAAATACAAAGTAAGCACATTCGTTCCTCAGTCAATACAAGGAATGGAACCTCGTATTGTCCCCCAGTCTTGCGCTTCTGCATCGCAAGGCTCCCAGGGTAGGGCCATGGAACCATGGTGCTGGTACATGTATCAGAGCCCAGTGTGTAACTTTTGATGCATTTTTCACCTGGGCCCTTCCCGTCCTGCTGATTTTCTCCGTGGCTCATTCATCATGCCGTCACTGACCCGGGCTCTCGCCCATCTATCATGTGACCGACCTACCCTGTCTGTGAGTGTGACTGACCTACCCAGTGACTCACCTACCCTGTGACTCACCTACCCTGTGACTCACCTACCCAGTGACTCACCTACCCTGTGACTCACCTACCCTGTGACTCACCTACCCTGTGACTCACCTACCCTGTGACTCACCTACCCTGTGACTCACCTACCCTGTGACTCACCTACACAGTGACCAAGCCAGTGACGGACCTACCCTGTAACCGTAGCCTTTGAAACAGCCTAGCCCCCAACTGACTAACCTAGTTCGTGCTGTGATTGACTAACCTAGTTCGTGTTGTGACTGACTAACCTAGTTTGTGACTGACTAACCTAGTTTGTGACTGACTAACCTAGTTCGTGTTGTGACTGACTAACCTAGTTTGTGACTGACTAACCTAGTTCGTGTTGTGACTGACTAACCTAGTTTGTGACTGACTAACCTAGTTCGTGTTGTGACTGACTAACCTAGTTTGTGACTGACTAACCTAGTTTGTGACTGACTAACCTGTGAGTGACCTGGCCTGTGGATCTCCTAGCCTTGAGATGACATAGCTGATTTGTGAACCGGCCTGTATGAGACCTGACATGCGTAGCTTGTGATGTGACTGACCCAGCTTGCGACCTACTTTTCTCCCTTTTTTTTTGCAGTGCAGTGACGTGGTCATAGTCCCTGACTTAGCATCGCCTCTGACTGACCTAGCGTGTGAGGGACCTAGCCTTGACCTAGCTTCTAATTGATATATCCAAAGAGTAACCCAATCTCAGCTGACCTGACTGACTATACTGCCCTAGCCTGTAAGTGGCCTAGCTTGTAACTGACCTAGCGTGCAAGTGACTCAGGTTGAAACCTTCCTGGCGTGTATTTGACTTTGCTTGTGACTTGCCTAGTTGAGGTCCTAATTATGTGAGTGGCCTACTTCTGACTGGCCTAACTTCTGACCACCAACAAGCGAGCGCGATGGTTCTATCTGTCACATTGTCGTCTGAATCTGAGGTCACCCCAGAACAATCCCAACCACTCTCCTTACCACCAATGACCCCTCCCAACCATGCCGAGTCTCTCATTCCGTAAGTACTGTGGTGTGGTGTGGTGTGGTTTATGCATGAGAAATGGCCGTGCCGATCCAGGTTGCCTTTGCTCGCTTCAGCTCGATTCGTGTGATGGCCAAACCGAGATTGGCTCGCTACGAGCCAAAGCGTGTGCTTGTCCGACTTGTGACTTGAATCCCGAGCTGAGGTGCCTGTCGGCAGCAAGCTGCTGGGCACCATTAGCTATCCTTGCGACTCGCGAGCCACCCTGCCTCGACCTCCCCCAAGTGTAGTCTACCAGGTCAAGAGTCTTGCATGTCTCACACTCCTTGCCGACCTCAGGCAACGGAGGAGCTTGAAAAAGGAGGTCTAGAATGCATGAGATCGGACTTGGAACGTGTGCAATAAAAAGGTAGTGCGACCTGAGCTGCACTGTTTTCCGCTCACTCCCGTCGACTCAAGGTGACCAGGTCGCTGAGAGACAAGCGGGATTCGCATTGCGAGTTGACTTCAGGAATCTTCCATCTCGGCTCGAAGAGCACCTCAAACGGCCAAACCACCGTTCAGCCCTGTGCTCACTCATTCTATGGCATTCACTACCACTTCTGTTCTCACGTGCCCTCTACTTTTCAGATCCCCTTGTGTGCTCGCTCCGGCTTCCCTCGCCTGCCCGGCTGTGGTAAGGAGAAACAAGCACCTTAGTCACCTTTGAAGGATTCTATTATCTCCAGTGGGAGGATTTGTACTGGTTGGTGAGGTTGCATATTTCATGCCAGGCTTAGCTGAGCTCTTTGCCTTGTGTTCATTACTGCTCCGCATCCTCGTGCAGCATCCCATCTTGCTTCCTTCCTCCTCCCATATTCCGTTCTGGCCTATTCCTCTTGGCTGGTTCTTTCTACTGCCGCTTTTTGCAACCCTCACCTCACCTACTTGCGTTGACGTCAAGTAGTGGTAGGCGTGCCAGTACCTCTTTACGCAATGAAAATACTCTTTTGTTTCGAAAAAACTTTGAAACCGATAAGACCTGTCAGCCCTTGCTTTTCTACTTTTCATTTTCCATCCGCTCCTTTCTCTTGCAAGACAATTGCCTTTCCAGAAACCGTTTTTCTTCTTCCACCATTCGTGGGACCTCAGGCAGGAAATGGCTCATTCAGCTCACTTCATTTGACTGATTGTACACCACCTACATACCAGCCCTATCAGTCAGTGTACCTCTCCAACCTGGTCATTTTCCCCCTTGCATGTCGTTTCAATCTTTCAAAAAATCTTCGTGTTTCTTTCTCCGTCCATTGTTCGTGTCCTTCATGGCTCGTGAGTCGGAGGGAACCACTTCACATCACATCACCACCCTATGCAGTCGTTTCCAGATCGTGGCTCATAGACCAGTGTCTGCGAGTCTCCGTCTTTCACCTTCTGCATTCATTCCTGCCTTGCTGCAACCATTTGCGGCCGGTGTTCCTTTTCGGTGTGCCTTTCTGACTTCTACTCTCCTCTGCGTCTACTCTTGGCCTCCCCTTGTTCCACCGCCATCCAACTGCATGCCGAATGCGCATGTCTGCACAAGCTTCCTCTCTCCCTTCTGATGCGTTCGATCCATTTTCCGACATCTCCTCATCAGACCCCCCTTGTTTTCTGCTCCTCAGCCCTTCTCTTTCTCACGTCACAGCCTTGTCCCTCACCCTTATGTGATTGGTCTTGTTTGTGTGTGCACTGCACTGACCACGCCCCTTCTCCCACTTTCCTTTCTACGTTTCTTTTTTCTCGCCAGACAAAGCGACAGTTGAACGCAGGGTCGAGTCAGTTTGTTTTGACGAGGGTCCTTTCAAGGGAGTGAGTGGATGAGATGGCTGCTGAGAGAGCGCTGATTGCACTGAATGACTTGATGAAAGAGACGGTGCTTGCAGCAGTGAGAGAGGAGCTGGCTGCACACAAGGAGGAGGTGGATGAGCTGCGGCACATGTTGGTTGTTTCGGAGGAGAGGAATGGGGCAATAGCTGCTGTGGTCAATGAGAGGGAGAGAGAGTTGGCAGCAGTGAAGGGGGAGCTAGCAGGACACAAGGAGGAGGTGCATGAGCTGCGCCGAATGTTGCTTGCCGTGGAAGAGAGGAACCAGGCGATTGCTGCTGCGATGGAGGAGAGGGAGGGAGAGTCGGCAGCATTGAAGGGGGAATTGGCAGCAGTAAAGGGGGAATTGGCAGCAATAAAGGGGGAGTTGGTAATGGTGAAAGGGGAGTTGCTGGAGTGCAAGGTCGCTATGGCAGACCAATGGGTTGAGAGTAGTAGTGCATCGGGTACAAGAGGGCTGCGAGGGGAGAGTAGAAAGAGAAGGCAAGTAATGACAGCGGAGAAGAATCCAGAGTTGGATATTGAGCTGGAAATCAGGCGGAGCACGGGCGATCGGAAGAAAGCATTGGAGGTGAGTGTGTCGTGAATAAGTGCTTAGTGAGCATGCATGCTCGCTATTTCTTCTCTATGTGGTTATCCATGGCATAGTAAATAAAGACGCATGGCAGGTGACGATCAAGCCATGCATTGTTTGGCATTCCCTTGTCACACTGGTCCTTCCTTTTCTTGTCCATCATTTCCCCATCATCCACCACCTCCAGCGAATCAAAGCAGAATCACGAAGAACCGATCTGTACTTGTCGAATCTAAGCGGCCTCTCAGACGCCATCCTCGGTCATGTTTCCACAATGACCCACCTGAAGAGCGTTCTCTTGTTCAAGAGTTCAGGCTTTAGTACAGAGGGCATCAAGCACCTCTACAGGCTGCCACAGCTGGAGATTCTAAACCTTAACGATACGGACGTCTCAGACAGTGCCTTGGAAGGCATTGGGACCTTGACCAGTCTCAAGGAGCTCTGTCTTTATCGTACCAAGCTGACTAATGCTGGTCTGCTGCAATTGACAGCTCTGTCCTCTCTCAAAGACCTGGGGCTTACTGGATGCATGGGGGTGACAGATGCTGGCATGGTGCACGTGGGGAGACTGACAGGTCTAACAGGGCTTGATCTGGGTGGCACGGCAGTCACGGATGATGGGCTGCAGGAGGTGAATGGCCTGACCCAGCTGAAACTTTTCCAACTGCCAAATGGCAGGTACTCTTGCGCGCATGCGGATAAGTAGGTAGGGTTGTGAGTGACGGAGGGGACGGAGACACATGAGGGCAAAGTTGACTGTGACTGCTTGGAGGAGAGGTGTGGAGGTAATGGGTGTGACGAATGAGGGGAGTACATGCAGGAGTGTGCAAGGAGTGGGAGTAGTTGCGGTGTATATTATCAGCTGTTGTAGGGGCTATGCATGAGGATGCAGCGGCTTGCTGGAGGGCATTGTCTCTGCTTGGCTGGGTGGCATGCTGCAGCATCGACCTTTGCCCAAACCTCTACTAACATCTTGCAGGGCCCCTCTGGCGGGATGGAACAACTATGAATGGGCAGGAATTCCTGGATAATTCTGGGTGCAATATGTATGTGATATCTATTGTTTATTAGATATGTTGTCTCTTGAACAATGGAGGGATTCTTTATTCTTTTACGGGTTGTCTCATATAGGGTGCTATCAAGATTATTGTGTGCTGCCCGGGAGGCAGGGCATGATGTGATGCCTGCGGCGGAGGGCAGAAGTGAAGCAGAAGGAATGTCAGCTTTTATGAGGGGGCAGAGATCATGGATGCTGCTTCATTGCCCACCCGTATTGTCCATTGCCTTTCTCTTCTCCTCAGTTCCTAGCTTGCTGCTTGCCCATTAAGTGGCATGCTTGAATCGTACTCTCATGCTCCCATCGCTGTTAATGGACACATCGTTCAGTCGGTGACAGCAGATGGAATGGTTGCGAACGGCTTCTCAGCTGACGGCAGGCAATGGGGCGTGCCAACATGCAGGTGAGAGAATCAGAGTATGAAATCTTCATAATTTCCTCACCCTTGATCTCTTCTTTCATCCAATGCTGCCACTCAAACCTTTCTCCTTTTGTGCCTTGCTCCATACGCGCCCAGCATGGTGCTTTTGGTGTTCGTTCACCCGTGAAATATGAATCTGAGCACCGCTTTCTGACTGCAGTGCCATCAGCTATCTTCCACTCCCCCTTCCTTGCTGTGTGCCCTAGCCTCTTCGCCCTCTCCCTGACTCTCACCCACTCCCTTCAACTTCCTTAACCAGCAGCACCTGTCTTGTACGGTACTAACCGGGAGGGACCCTAATCATCCCCACCACCGGTGCGGTCAGCATGGCTGCAGCATGCCCCCCTCATGGCAGCACACTGCTGGGCACCAATGGCGGTGAAGCATCATCCCACCATGGTGGAGCTGCAGTGGTGGCGGTGAAGTGGGTCAGCAGGGATTGGGGTGGAGGCGGGCGTAAGGGAGGCATGGGAAGCTAACTCCCTCCCACCATGGGAGGAAGGGCTGTTTTGAGCCACGAATGTGAGATTGTGAATGGTTTTTTTCAGGAAGACGTGCCAATGCGGAGGTGAGAGAAGCGGAGTGGATGGAGGAATCAAAATCATGTTTGCACCCTATCCCTCTTCTTCCATCCATCGCTACTGCTCATGTTGGAATATATCATCCCTGTCTCACCCTTCATCTCGTATCCCTTCTACAACTCCCTCCCTGCCTGCCACATCCCCGTTTCTCCTTCATCTCTCCATTCCCCATTTCAAGGTCTCCATTCAACCCACTTCAAACATCACACCTGTCACTTTGGCCCATCACACCTGCTTTCATTTCAACTGTCTTCCCCTTCTTGTCATTAACTCTGAGAACTTACCGACTGTCTGTTCATCCCCACCCCAATTCCTCCTCCTCTGCCCACTGCACCTCCCATCTTCTGCCCCACCAACCCAACCAAGCAGCAGCATCATTGCCTTTGCATCTTCAGACCCTGCTCTCCTCAATCCCACATCAGCTACGTGGGCAATCTTCTATACCTCAGTTTTCCCCCTCCATGCCCCAATGCCCTCCTGTGCTGCACATGTATTATGTATATGCCCACGTGTCTCTCTTCCTCTCCCCCGCCCAGCCCCTTGCCCCCCATCTCCCTCCTTTCCCCTCTCCCCCTCCCTCTTGGTGGTTGGCTGTTGGTGACAGCACAGAGGAGCCCCATCGACTTTCCTTGCAGTAACAACTCCACCATCCCTTCCAGTGCCCTCCCTAGATCTCCCCTTAGTTGAATCTGGCAGTCGGCTAACAATGCAGTGATGCTTGGGGCATGGTCAGACCAAGATGGCTAGATGTAAGTACTACAAATCAAAACGCATGATATTATGAGCAGCCATGTTTGTGTGCCCTATCAGGAACTCTAGTGTTGGGCCAGATGTGCATGCATGCCTCATCCCATACCTCATCCCATACCTCATCCCATACCTCATCCCTTGCCTCATCCCACAAGTTTTCCTGCAATTAATTCCATATCTCATCTCTTACCTCATCACAAATCATGCATCCCACTCCAGTGTCGTTTCTGAACCACTTTCGCTTTCCTTAGTCCCTTTCCTCTCTTGCATGCCCCTCACTCATGCCTGCCCTTCACTCAGTCACAGCAGAACACCCTCGAGCTGCTGTTCGGATTTTGTCGTGTATATCAAAGCTTCGGATGTGTTTGAGCATATCAGCTATGTATTCTGAAGCAATCAACGCCATGTTGAGTTGGCAACACATAGGAGGGAGAGCTGCTTGCAACACAAGTGAAAACCAGATCCCCTGGGTTTAGAATGAAGTTTTCCAATCCCTAGACTCCTGCATGCCGGTGAGGTGAATGGGCCATGCGGGTGGGTGGTGCAGCAGCATGTGTGACTCCTACCCTTTCTCATCCAGGTCAGGTACAGGCCCATGTTTGCCTCACAACCGCCCTCTGTTCCATGGATCATGCCTGCCATGCCATCCACCTGGTTAGCCAACCAAAACCCATTTAGAGTAGCAAGCTGCTGCTGCACGTATACATGCCTATGCTATGATACAAATGAAATGTGGTATAGCATTTTGTACTGATGATTAGATTAGAGCATTCTGGGGCATATTCTAGATTGTACGTGCACCAGGCCAAGGAGTCTTGCACAGGAAAAGCCTTGCCCAACCAAGCCTCAATCTCCCTTTCCCCAATCATCAGTATCTGACACCTAGGAAGCTAAGCCCCAATATACGTGCACAGATCCTCGCTGCATGAAAAACCGGAAGTAGGAGATATCAGAGTTCCCAACATACATGACTGCCATGCCATCCAGGACAAGGCTCACAGGCCCTATCCACCGTACTGGCATTTTCTGATGGCCACCATCGGGTCAGAGCAGTATCAATGAAGGATAACAAAACAATCATGCAAATCGTACTAAGGTGTCTTGCACAACCAGCCCTGCACCTGCTTCTTTCAAACTCCAACGCACAAGCCACACGACATGACCATTCGCCACCTCGCTGCAACATGCAAGTTGAGCCGTGCACAACCACCATTCCATGCCTCACTCCTCCGCATGAATGCCTCCACGTCTCTCCTCAGTCTCCCCTAGACAGTCAATCAAATCTTTCCTCACCTCACCTCCCTTTCCATCATCACTCCCTGCCACCCTACCTGCCTATCCGCCTGCGTGCATGATCATTCTGAAAGAAACCCCCTTCTGGTGGAATGAGCAAGAAAAGTTTTGTCAGGGCAGTCAGCTGCTGCAGCCCATCATCCGTGACTGCCGTACCACCCAGACCAAGGGCCTCAAGCCCTGTCAACCTCCCCACATGCACCATGCCAGCATCTGTCACACCCCTGCATTCACCAAGCCCAAGGTCTTTGAGAGAGGACAGAGCTGTCAAGTGTGGCAGACCAGCATCGGTCACCTTGGTCTGATTGAGAAAAAGCTTTTGAAGTCTGGTCAAGGACATAATGCCTTCCAAGGCACTGTCTGAGATTGATGTAGCTCTGAGGTTTAGCATCTCCAGCCGTGACAGCCTGTAGAGGTAGGTGCTTGATGCCCTCTGCACTGAAGCCTGAGCTAGACTCCAAGTCAATGCTCTTCAGATGCGTCATGGTGGACAAATGGGCGAGCATGGCGTCTGAGAGGCCGCTAAGACCCGCCAAGCTCATATCAGCTTGTGATGCTGCCTTGATTCGCTGGAGGTGATGGATGAAGAGGGAACAAATGACAAGGAAAGGAATGACCATTGGGACAAAAACAGACAGCACATGTCCAGTGAAACAGTTCCCTCAGCACTCACCTCCCATGCCGTCTTTTGATGGCCGTCACTCTGAATGATCTTCAACTCTACAACCAACCCAGCCAACACCTGTATCTCCGTCACTCGTCTCCTCTCAGCCTCCTCCAATTCCACCTTGGTTGCTGCCAACTCCCTCCTTGTCTCCTCAAAGTGCACTCCCACCTCTCTCATCCCCGCCACTCGTCTCCTCTCAGCCTCCTCCAATTCCCCCTTCACTGCTGACAGCTTTCTCTCCCTCTCCTCCACCTGCCCTCTCATCTCCCTCATCTCCGCCACTCGTCTCCTCTCAGTCTCCTCCAATTCCTCCCTGGCTGCTGCCTCCAACTCCCTCCTTGTCTCTTCCAGCTGCACACCAAGCGCCCTCATTCTCATCTCCATCGTCTCACTCAACTCATACGTTCCAGCCATTCTTACAATGATGGACCTAACGGCCTCACCCCCTCTCCGCATTGTGGAACAGGCACACCTCCTGTGCATGACAGCACAGGGGAACTCGTGACATGGGGACAGACGGGTGTGGCAGCACGCCAGGACAAAACAAAGTGTAGCCACACATGGGTGGCAGCACATGGATGACATGGTAAGGAAGGCAATGAGACGATCACAGAAGTCATGGAAGTATAGAGACACAGCTTTCATGTAAGTGAGAGACCAGACGATCATGGCACAACAAGAGGATGCAGAAAACACCAATGGACCACAAGATGATAGCGCGATGGTGAGGTGGGGCATGCTCACATGGGGATGTGCAGCAGAGGGAAGATTCCACGTGGCTGCAGCATGGTGAGGGCGAGGAAGGGAAGGAGGAATGAGTGGTGAAGAGAGTGGAGGAGAGAGGGGATGAAAGAAGGAGGAATGTCCAGTAGCACGGTGTAAACGAGCAAGGGAGAGTGGCGGAGAGTGGGCTTGTGGGGAAGAGAGAGCTTAGAAAGGAGAGGGAGACCAGTTTGACAGAAATATAAGCGGAGGTGTTAAGAAGGCAGAGCGTATTGCATACCATCAGCCTGCCTGCCACAGCCAAGCCCTGCTGCACCCATGCTGTGATTTGCGCGTGAGTCACGCCCATCCACCACAGCAGTGCCACGAGAGTTGCAGAGAGAGTGGAGATAGCAGAACAGAATACAGCACGAGTAGATGTACTGCAGATGGAGACTGTGACCCGGGGGAAAACACGGGAACAAGTGAAAGGCACTTGAGTAAGATGATTAAGGAGCGGTAGTTTCCAGATCAAGCAAAACGCTTACTTTTGGTAATTGTTGCAGCAAGAAGGCAAGTGCAGAGGCTTCATTCAGTCATCCCAACACGCACCAGGGTGTGGAGGGAGTGAAGAGGCACGTTGAGAGCGTGGACATGCTGAAGAGATGTGGCGATGGCATTGGCCTGAGTGGGAAGCAGGCTCGTGTCACTCTGACACGTGGTAGTGGCATTGGGCTGAGAGGCAGTCAACACATGCAATGGGGGACATGCGCACGTATACACACTCACACATGTGCACGCATAAGCACCCACACATGCACATCATACATGAAGCACATCAACTGCCGTTCTGGTACCATCCAATACAAAAAAAAAAGAGAAATAATGAAATTAACCATAATCGACAATAGGATGTTAGCATGACGATGGAGGGAAGAATAACTCTTTTCTTGCTTACAAGCGGGAGGGATGCAGAGGTAAGCATGAGAGGGTGGATGGCTTGCTGGCTGTCACATGGCACCTGCAAGAGGCAACGTGGAGAGACGAGGTGGGTGCATGCAGAGACATGAGGCAAGGCAAGTCAACCATGAAAGGCACAAGCACAAGAAACACACAATGTAGAGAACATGCGCAGAGCAGGTATGCTGGAGAGGAGAGGGCTTGGCGAGGCCGGGCCAGAATGGCAAAAAGCGACCACGACGCATTCGACCCCTGCCATAGCTTCGACCCCTGCCATAGCTTCGACCCCTGCCATAGCATGGCACCACTCACGTCCAGCATGGCACCACTCACGTCCAGCATGGCACCACTCACGTCCAGCATGGCACCACTCACGTCCAGCATGGCACCACTCACGTCCAGCATGGCACCACTCACGTCCTTCGCAGTGGTGAAAGGCCAGGCATCCCTGGCAAGTGGCATGATGCTGACGATGACAGCGACGGCAGGAAGAAAAGCAGCAAGCAGCCCTGGCAGCAGCATGGCCACTGCAGTCATCCGAGCCATGGCTGATGGGGCGAGCCCAATGCAAGTCGTGCGCCTGCAGCACAGTGAGGTGCGGCAGGAGCAAAGGAGGAAGGCGGACAGCAGCAGGAGAAGGAAGACCGATAGAGGCCAGAGGTGGAAATTGTGAGGCTAAGGTGAGGTACGAGGTTTTGGAAATGAAACACAAAGACAGCAATCCGAAGCAATTTTAAGATTCACCATATGATGGAAAGGACAAGTGACCACAAGAGCGGGAGGGAGGGGAACGAAGGGGGGAGGAAAGGGCCAGGGCAGGAAAAGAGTGGAGGGAAAGCAGTAGGAGACGAAAGGAGGAGAGGAGGTGGAGAGAGACGGAAGGAGGGGCCGACGTAGGAGACGGAGGAGCAGTGGAGGAGTGGAGCAGGGGACGAGAGGGGCAGGGGACGAGAGGGGCAGGGGACGAGAGGGGCAGGGGACGAGTAAGAATAGAAGGCGATGGAAAGAAGGAGGTGATGCTGGAGTGGAAACGGTCTGATACAAGGAAAGGCTATAAACAGTGATAAGAACTATGACATCTTAAGTTTGCACAACGTAGGCACGAGCAAAAACAGAGGACAGAGGCACGAGCAAAAACGGATAGAGGCACGAGCAAAAACGGAGGATAGAGGCAAGGTTAAAAGCAGATGATCGAGGCTTGATCAAAAGCAGAGGACGGAGGCATTAGCAAAGCAGAGGATAGAGCTACGAGCAAAAACAACAGGTAGGGATACTGCAGAAGAATGGAATACAATCAACTGCAGAAGCCTATTAGATTGGTTTCTGACAAGAATAGGAGCAGGAGCGGAGGGAGGGGGCGAAGTGTGAAAGAAGCGTTGATTGCTGGCAACAGAGGTCGCATACAGAGAAACGCGTGGCAGCACTAGGAGGTAAGGGGAGGTGCGAGGCAAGAGTGAGACAGGCGAGCAGCAAAGCCTGGTACTGCTACGGGCGATGAGAGCAGGCTGGTCACTGGTGGAAGGTGGGGAGCAGCAGACCGGGTGAGACGTGGGAACAGAGTAGAGAGGCCGTACCTGGAGTGGGTGAGGTGTGGCAGCAGCGAGCCACCAGCTGCGCGCGAGCCGCTTCTCCGAGTGAGAGAAATTTCTGTGGGAGGTGAAGGACGGCCGAGGGGGTGATGGAGGAGCGAGGCGACAGTAGTGAAAGGGCAGAGGCTACAAGCTGTTAACAGGTGCGCTCACAAGAAAGGAAGGCAAGAGAGTGGAAATGGACCGTGCAATAGTTAGCTGGGGCTAGGCAGAAGGGCCGCGGAACGGGAAGGGGAGGTGGAGGGTCGAGGGGGGCGTTAGTGGCAGAAGTAAGGAGGGAGGAAAGAGAGGAACGAGCAGGAGACGAAAGATTGAAACGAGGTGGAAAGAAGTTGGAAGGAGATGCTAGAGGCCAGCACGAGCAACAAACGTTGATAGAAGCAAAGGCCACAGAAATGGGTAAGAGTCTGAATTTACGGGTAAAAGCATACCAGAATGAACATCATGACTGATTTTCGTAAAGAATGACAGCAGGATGGGAATGTGGGAGTAGCAAGCCGGTATGAGAGGCCGTACCTGGAATGGCGGGTGATGTGAGGTGTGCCGAGTGGCAGCAGCGAGCTACTAGCTGCGAGCGAGGCGCTTCTCCGGAGGGCGCCGAGCGGGAGTAGAGGGAGGGGAGGGGCGCGATGGAGGAGCGAGGCGACAGGAGGTAGCAAGAGGCAGTAACGAGGTGCCAGGAATGGAGAGGAGGTGCACTTTAAATGAGACGACGGCAGGAGGGATGATGAAGGGTAGGAAGTGAAGCGGAAGAAGATCGATGGCAGTGTCGAAGTTGGGAGCTGGGCGTGGGGTAATGAAAAGGTTGAAGAACCGGGAAAAGAGAGAAACAGGAATGGATCAGCTGGAAGCCCCATTCGCCTTCGACGCTTTCACGCGCCGAGGAAAGTCGCTCTCCGTTCGTACACGGCACGGCGGTCAGCGATCGCAGCAGTGATGTGCAAACGACGGCATGGTGCTTTGCTTCCTTGTTCCACCCAATCCCGGCCGACCCCATCCATCCCCACGCCACTTCGCGGAAGCTGACATCCCCCTCTCCTCCCCCTGCTCGCTTTCACGCATTGTGGAAAATCGTTTTCCATGTCGCTCGCGACGGTTAGCGATCGCAGCATTGCTGACACAATTTGAATCCGTACACCCCCTCGCCACTTGGCGGAAGCAAACGCCCCCCGGTCTCCCTTCCGCCCCATCCTCATCCCGCAGTGCATGTCTTCATGCTCGTTCCGCCATCACGAGTCGCTCCCAACTGGCCATCACGATTCCCGCATACGTGGCACCAACCCCACCCAGGCTGTTCACGACATTCTTTGGCGCCCGCTTTCGCAAGCGCACCGAAGAAATGTGGTGGTGGGAATGTCGCCGGTGCGTGCATGCGCCGGGAGAATCATGTCGCGGCATGGAGAGGCTGAGGACGTAGATCTACCTAATCCGACGGCAAAGATCGCGATTTTGGCTGTGATGAAGCAAGATTATTGCTTCATCTGATGTGCGGGTGGAGAATGTGCTTGCTTTATCACTTGTGTTACTAGTTCTGACGGGTTGGGCAGGGCGTGAGTCAGAGGGTAGGAGAGGCGTGAAGGGGATGGAGGCGTGAAGTTGGATCTGAAATGCGCGAATCTCATTCTGCTTTCGCCAAGACTGTGTAACCTGAAGCTCGTTCGTTGACTTTCACAAACCTCCCTCGCCGATTTCGTTCTCCAACCAAACCACCCTGCCAGCTCACCCGGTTTCCTGAACTGACAGATCCTCGACATAGTGTGGTGGCTGTTCCGCACAAACAGCTGAATCTATGCGTAGTGCACATATGATAGCCGTCAATTCTCCTACGCGTTGTGAGAAATCATGCATGTATGTTGTGCGTCGCAACTAGATCCAAATGACACCATGTTGCTCGCGCCAGTCTCCCCATAGCGCGCCATAGTAAGCCAATGCCGCCACGTGCAGCTTCGAGAACACGCCGTTTAGCATACGCATGCGACCAATGGCGTCGCAGCGCGCTTTGGGACCCATCGACCTCATCCTCGCGAGAATCCTACACCTTCAGCCTTTCGCCCCGAAGTCGATACCTGTCGTCTTCAGCGCGCCGTGCTCAGGTCACGATCATCGACCCGAGTCAGCCGGACCTCCTAGCAACTCCTCGATGCGCTATGCGTGGCGATCCACCGGCGAAGGAGTGTAGCATGTGTGGAGCGTGATATGTGAGCTGCTGGAGCAGCGGGTGAGCACCGATCCGGAGGGATGCGAGATGGTTGGACTCGGACGTGCGACGGCGATGCCGAACGACGGCGGGCTGGGGGGATGGCGGGATGGCGGAATGGGGAGATATGGAGAGGGGCGAACGGTGAGATGGGATGGGCTTGCGAGGCGGATCACAGATGGGTGCCGCAACGCGTGCGATACGTGGCATACCCCCCCGCTCCCCCACCCTGTTATCCTCTGTCGTTCATCCTCGTCCCCCTGCTTCTTTTCTCTGGCTCTTCCCTCTGAAGTCAAGCAGCGGCTACCACTTTCGCTGACTTCCACCTGCCAGATGTCCCTCCGCATTCCCTCGCCTTACCGTTGGGTGGCGTTCCTCCCTTTTCAGAACTGTTTTCTCCCTTTCGCCTTCGGGCTTAGGGTTTGTAAATTCGTCTGCTGAGAAGCGTCTGGCTCTCAGCGGTGACCACCTCGCTGCTCCCATCTGGCGCCACCTCCACACACCAGGTACGCACGCCAGTCTTGTTGCCTAACTGCTGCCCCACTCGTATCAGCTTGTTTTTCCCATCTGGCTCGCCCACCATCCTTCGTAAGTTGTGCCGCACCGCTGCACCTCTTTATCTCTTGTTTCCCTGCCTCACTCTTCTTGCGTGTCCTGCTGCTCCCCTCCCATCCCTTCGTTTGTCTGCTTGCTCCTCACTTCGCATGTCTTCTGACTATTTCACCCTTCCCAGTTCATCTTGCCTCTACCTTATACTTTTCAAATCATTCCATGTCTCATCTTCTACTTGAAGTCTTGTTGCTGCTACCCTTGTCACCAGATTCGCATGTATTTCTTTCCCTTGCCACTGCTGCTACTTTCTAACTTGCTGCTGCTATTTTTGTCACCAAATCTCTTGGTCATTGATTTACTTCGTCTGATTGTCGTTTGGCTTTCTACCTGCACCAAGCTTCTTGCTATGCCACATTGTTTCCCGCTAGGAATTTCATTATCTCTTCCCTGTCCCGTCGTCTCATCCCCGTTTCTTTCTTCCACGAAGAAGGTCACCACCTCCTCAGCTGCCCCTTCCCTGCTGCCGCCGCCGCCAAATTGTGTGTCACTGCTTCAGCCGCTCTCCCAGTCACTTCAGCCTGCTGTTCTCTCTGCTGTCATCCCGTGAGGTGGGTGCATCCCAGCAATCTGCTAGGCATCTTCATCGTGTTGCTGCTTCAATATCAGGCATACCTCTCTCCACATCTCAGCCACTTCAATCCCTCCAAGTCCACCTCTTCCATGTGTTCTCTTCCTTTTTGGTTTCTTTCCTGTCGTGCACCCTACCTGTTGTCTCTCTGCCGCGTAGAGTTCACAATCTGCTTTGGCCTCTCTGGCCAGTCCACACCATCCATCTCGCTCACTCCTGCTTCCCCTCCATCGCTTTGGATCTGATTTTGCTTCATTGCTTGTTTCTCCATCTGCCAAGTCTCCACCCTCGCCCTTAAATTTGCGTATAATTGTCTCTTTGTTTGCCGCTACTCCTGGTTTTCTTACTTATGAGATACCAACAGTCGTATCGCCATTTGCCATATGCCCATATGCTTCACTTGTCCCCTTTCCTGGCCTCGTCGCCTCTCTTGCACTCTGTGCACGCGGTATGCTTGAGCACAAAACCATACGGGTTTGGTGTTCTTTCTGTCGTTCTCACACCTGTTCAATTCGTTGTGCTCTTCCTTCCGCTGGTGCTGCTGCGTCTCCTTTTTCCTCCTGTGAACTGCTTGTCCCCTTGTCCCCCTGCTTCTGCTCTGCTGCTTATCCCATGTTCCCCTATTCCTGCTACTTAGACCTACTTTTTCTGCACTTTTTTCTTGATTCCCCTGCTGCTGCCGCTCCTCCTTTCCATTCCCTGCCGCCACCCTCCCCTGATCTGGTCCTTTCCCTCCATTGCTCCTGCCGCATCTCCTGTGTAGTCGCCTTTGCTACAGAGCGCGTCTTCCTTTTTCTGCCCCTACTCCCACCTTCCCCGCAGTCGCCCTTTGTGTTTCCCTCGAGTCTTGCAACCTGCGATCATGTCCTCTACTTATACGCCTCCCCTTCATGCCTATGTGTTCCATCTGTCTCCTCCTGTTAGAACCTGACTTCCTTTTCCTGCCACTGGCCTCGTCCAACTTCGGCTCCTGCTGCTTCCTTCCTACCCTTCACTTGCCCGGCCGCACCTCACTGTGCCGTCGCTGCTACTGGTAACTGGCCTCCTTACACTCCGCAATCTACTCCATTGCCTCACCCCTGCACATTTTTCAGAGTTGAGACCAACCTTGGCTGAGCTGAAGCATTCCTGAGAGCTACGTGATCGCTGGTTGGGAGTGGATTGAGGCGATGGCTGTGGAGAGGAAGGCAAATGAGCTCAGTGAGGCAGCCAGAGCGCTGCTTGCAACAGTGAGAGGCGAAATTGCAGCAGTGAAGCGGGAGGTGGCAGCGTTGACGGATAAGGCGGCACAGCAGAGTGAACCGGTGAGGTGATGAGCTGATGCACTTGACGTTGACTCTCATGTTATTCTACGTTTCCCGCCACCAGTATTTTGGGCATTTGCTTGAACCCCATGCCCATATGCTCCACATGTTTCCATTGCTGGCCTTGTCACCTCGCATGCACGTTGTGCGGTGTCCTTTCCTGCTGCTGCTGCTTTTCCTGCATTCTTTCACCCCCTTCTGCCACTTGTCTCCCTCATATGCATTTGCTGCTTGTCTTCCCCAATTTTGCTGTTTTACAATCTGGTTACCAGCTCGTTACTTCAATGTGATCGTACTTACTCGCCAGCTCATGTCTATCCTCTGCCAGTATAAGACCTGTCTTACTTTTCCCGCTGCTGCCCCCTTCCCCTGTTCCTGCTGCCCTCTTCCCCTGTTCCTGCTGCCCCCTTCCCCTCCCACCTGCTCCTGCTATCCCATCCCTCCCCTACTCCTGCTGCACCCCATGGTGTTGTGCAGGCGCACGCCTTGCACTACTGAGTTTGCCCCATCAGCAGCAGCCATGCTGCTGCTGCCTTGGCTGCTCGTGGCTATCCTTCTCGGCGCTGCCATCGGGTATGCTTGAGTACTTCCTAAACTGTGCATGCCCGACGTTGTTGCAATGTGCTCATAAGATATGCCTTCAGTCACTTCCACATGTTTTTTCATAATCTGTCATTCTCATCAGCAACCTCCCTCACATCTGTCGTGCATTTAAAACCTAAAGCCTCTCTGCTCGCTTCCACCTATTCGTCTACTCACCTTCCTCGTCCTCCTAAACCTCCACTCGCATTTTCTCTTCCTGTATTTCGATCTTCTCATTCCATGTGTGCTGCATTGTGTTCCCATATGCTGCCATGTGTAGGAGGCACACCATTTCCCAGATGGGGAGAACAAGTGAAGCTGTTGGGACCTTCAACGCACATAAGTTGAATGAGGCGATGGAGATGAGATTGAGGGTGCTTGGCTTGCAGCTGGAAGAGACAAGGAGGGAGTTGGAGGAGGCTGAGAGGAGACAAGTGGCGGAGATGAGAGGGCAGGTGGAGGAGAGGGAGAGGGAGCTTGCTGCAGAGTTGGCTGCAGTGAAGGGGGAGCTGGTTGAACTCAAGGAGGTTATGGCAGTGAAACTGGATACGATTGGGAGGAGAAGAGGATCTGATACGAGAGAGAGGAGAGATGGAACGAGAGTGGAGTTGGCAAGCGAGAGGGAGGAGAGGAGGAGGGAGGTGCAGGAGCTGAATGAGCCACATGCCATGGAGGAATTGGTACCCTGCTGCAGGAAGGTTAAGGAGGGAATCAGCCAGAGTGAATCCAGTCGGACGACTGCATGGGAGGTGAGTGCTGAGGGAACTGTGTTGCATGCATGCATGGTTTCACAAGCATGATTAGACAGGGCATGCATTCTTCATGGCATGCACAGTTTGCTGTTGTCACAATGGTTCGTTTTCTAGCCAATCAAGTCAGCATCACGAGGAATTGATTGGAATATGATGAATCTCCACGGCCTCTCAGACGCCATCCGTGATATGTCCACAATGACCCGTGTGAGGCACATTGACATGGGTTCTGGCTAAGCCTTCAGTACAGAGGTCGTCAAGCAACTCTACAGAATGGTTGGTTACAACAGGCTGCTCTGACCAATCTGGCATATTTCTATATCCGTAAGGCGATAATGTTCGCAATGAGGATGTATGCAAGCGGATAGGTAGCCATGTTAGGATGACAACCAATGATGTGGAGGGGAGGAGGCTTGCAGGCAAGAGGGGTGAAGAATGAGGGGAGCACATGGAGGAGTGTAAGTCGATTGCTTGGCAAGGCATTGCAAGTATATCACTAGATCAGGTTTTTGCTGCGATTTCAACCTTGTCTCTCCAGTTTTTTTTTCCATGAATTATCACCCCTCAAATTTCTTGTTCTTGTTGATTTGCTCATGACCCTTGCTTCCCAAATCTGCAGCCTCTGGTTCGTTATTTTGCTATGACCAGTCTCATGCAAGAATTTCATATGATGTATCTACATTGAATTGCTATTCGTTTCCTCAGTGTGTGAATGTGAGTGCATGTGCATCTGTGTGTCCCCCCCTTCACGTACATGCATCCTCTGCCTCTCAGGCAAATGCCACTGCTGCGAGTAGTAATGTCACGTTATTAACTCGCACTCTGGCCAACGTCGTCGCCTCCTTCTCAAAGCATGCCTACACTCTCAGCGTGCCAATTTACTCTCTCCTCACCCTGGTGCGTACTGGGATGAGTCATCCGGGATGACCAAGGCTTCTGCACTTGCCACATTGCTGCAGCAACCATTTTTCTTAGTTGTTGGTGTTCTTTTGATTTTGGGGTTTCATGCTCCTCATATTGTACTCATGCCCGTGTTTCCCCACGTCAGCTGAAGTCTCAAGCTGCGGAACATCAAATCGTGCTGTGTTTCGCCATTGCAACTCTCGTGTTACTGGCTGTGACGGCTGGGCTGATGAAACTGCAGAGTGTAAGCAAGTGCTGTGTTGTGCCATGCACTCTGCCCTCCTCTGCTGCAGCTGTGGTCCTTTGCCATTCGTTTCTTCTCCTCTTGTCAAGCTCTCTAATGCACTCCTCCTTATCTTGACTCCCATTCCTCATGCTTTTGCTCATTTTCCTCTCATGTCTCATCACGCATCGTGGGCGGCAGCAGCGGCGACATCAGCGGCGGCGGCAGCAGTGGTGGCAGCAGCGGAGGTGGTAGCAGGCGGTAGCAGTATCGGCCATGTCGCAGCAGCAGTAGCAGCGTCGGGAGATGGTTGGGATTAGGGGTGTGAAGCAGGAGGACATATGACTTGAATATCAAGGAGTGTAGAAGGATATGCATGTGGAGGAGTGGGGCTTGGAATGGTGGTGGTTGTGTTCAATTGATCTTGCTTGTTGCGTGGAGTTGGAGAATGGTTGTGTAAAAACTTTGTGCCTTGAAGGTGGAGAAGGTGCAGGGCTGGTTGGCCCGGAGTTGGGTTCAGGCTGTACAAATGTGAAGTGTTGTATGCACATGGCAGAAGTTAGCTTTATGACATTCTGAGGGCATATTGCTGGCTGAGGTGGTGGGTGGCGCAAGACGGAGGGTGAAGCAGAAGGAAGTGGGCCGGAGGGTGAAGCAGAAGGAAGTGGGCCGGAGGGTGAAGCAGAAGGAAGTGGGCCGGAGGGTGAAGCAGAAGGAAGTGGGCCGGAGGGTGAAGCAGAAGGAAGTGGGCCGGAGGGTGAAGCAGAAGGAAGTGGGCCGGAGGGTGAAGCAGAAGGAAGTGGGCCGGAGGGTGAAGCAGAAGGAAGTGGGCCGGAGGGTGAAGCAGAAGGAAGTGGGCCGGAGGGTGAAGCAGAAGGAAGTGGGTTGGAGGGTGAAGCAGAAGGAAGTGGGCCGGAGGGTGAAGCAGAAGGAAGTGGGCCGGCGGGTGAAGCAGAAGGAAGTGGGCCGGCGGGTGAAGCAGAAGGAAGTGGGCCGGAGGGTGAAGCAGAAGGAAGTGGGCCGGAGGGTGAAGCAGAAGGAAGTGGGCCGGAGGGTGAAGCAGAAGGAGGTGGGCCGGAGGGTGAAGCAGAAGGAGGTGGGCCGGAGGGTGAAGCAGAAGGAAGTGGGCCGGAGGGTGAAGCAGAAGGAAGTGGGCCGGAGGGTGAAGCAGAAGGAAGTGGGCCGGAGGGTGAAGCAGAAGGAAGTGGGCCGGAGGGTGAAGCAGAAGGAAGTGGGCCGGCGGGTGAAGCAGAAGGAAGTGGGCCGGCGGGTGAAGCAGAAGGAGGTGGGCCGGAGGGTGAAGCAGAAGGAGGTGGGCCGGAGGGTGAAGCAGAAGGAGGTGGGCCGGAGGGTGAAGCAGAAGGAAGTGGGCCGGAGGGTGAAGCAGAAGGAAGTGGGCCGGAGGGTGAAGCAGAAGGAAGTGGGCCGGAGGGTGAAGCAGAAGGAAGTGGGCCGGAGGGTGAAGCAGAAGGAAGTGGGCCGGAGGGTGAAGCAGAAGGAAGTGGGCCGGAGGGTGAAGCAGAAGGGAGGGGGCCGGAGGGTGAAGCAGAAGGGAGTGGGCCGGAGGGTGAAGCAGAAGGGAGTGGGCCGGAGGGTGAAGCAGAAGGGAGTGGGCCGGAGGGTGAAGCAGAAGGAAGTGGGCCGGAGTGTGAAGCAGAAGGAAGTGGGCCGGAGGGTGAAGCAGAAGGAAGTGGGCCGGCGGGTGAAGCAGAAGGAAGTGGGCCGGAGGGTGAAGCAGAAGGAAGTGGGCCGGAGGGTGAAGCAGAAGGAAGTGGGCCGGAGGGTGAAGCAGAAGGAAGTGGGCCGGAGGGTGAAGCAGAAGGAAGTGGGCCGGAGGGTGAAGCAGAAGGAAGTGGGCCAGAGGGTGAAGCAGAAGGAAGTGGGCCGGAGGGTGAAGCAGAAGGAAGTGGGCCGGAGGGTGAAGCAGAAGGAAGTGGGCCGGAGGGTGAAGCAGAAGGAAGTGGGCCGGAGTGTGAAGCAGAAGGAAGTGGGCCGGAGAGTGAAGCAGAAGGAAGTGGGCCGGCGGGTGAAGCAGAAGGAAGTGGGCCGGAGGGTGAAGCAGAAGGAAGTGGGCCGGAGGGTGAAGCAGAAGGAAGTGGGCCGGAGGGTGAAGCAGAAGGAAGTGGGCCGGAGGGTGAAGCAGAAGGAAGTGGGCCGGAGGGTGAAGCAGAAGGAAGTGGGCCGGAGGGTGAAGCAGAAGGAAGTGGGCCGGAGGGTGAAGCAGAAGGAAGTGGGCCGGAGGGTGAAGCAGAAGGAAGTGGGCCGGAGGGTGAAGCAGAAGGAAGTGGGCCGGAGGGTGAAGCAGAAGGAAGTGGGCCGGAGGGTGAAGCAGAAGGAAGTGGGCCGGAGGGTGAAGCAGAAGGAAGTGGGCCGGAGGGTGAAGCAGAAGGAAGTGGGCCGGAGGGTGAAGCAGAAGGAAGTGGGCCGGAGGGTGAAGCAGAAGGAAGTGGGCCGGAGGGTGAAGCAGAAGGAAGTGGGCCGGAGGGTGAAGCAGAAGGAAGTGGGCCGGAGGGTGAAGCAGAAGGAAGTGGGCCGGAGGGTGAAGCAGAAGGAAGTGGGCCGGAGGGTGAAGCAGAAGGAAGTGGGCCGGAGGGTGAAGCAGAAGGAAGTGGGCCGGAGGGTGAAGCAGAAGGAAGTGGGCCGCGGGTGAAGCAGAGGGAAGTGGGCCGGAGGGTGAAGCAGAAGGAAGTGGGCCGGCGGGTGAAGCAGAAGGAAGTGGGCCGGAGGGTGAAGCAGAAGGAAGTGGGCCGGAGGGTGAAGCAGAAGGAAGTGGGCCGGAGGGTGAAGCAGAAGGAAGTGGGCCGGAGGGTGAAGCAGAAGGAAGTGGGCCGGAGGGTGAAGCAGAAGGAAGTGGGCCGGAGGGTGAAGCAGAAGGAAGTGGGTTGGAGGGTGAAGCAGAAGGAAGTGGGCCGGAGGGTGAAGCAGAAGGAAGTGGGCCGGCGGGTGAAGCAGAAGGAAGTGGGCCGGCGGGTGAAGCAGAAGGAAGTGGGCCGGAGGGTGAAGCAGAAGGAAGTGGGCCGGAGGGTGAAGCAGAAGGAAGTGGGCCGGAGGGTGAAGCAGAAGGAGGTGGGCCGGAGGGTGAAGCAGAAGGAGGTGGGCCGGAGGGTGAAGCAGAAGGAAGTGGGCCGGAGGGTGAAGCAGAAGGAAGTGGGCCGGAGGGTGAAGCAGAAGGAAGTGGGCCGGAGGGTGAAGCAGAAGGAAGTGGGCCGGAGGGTGAAGCAGAAGGAAGTGGGCCGGAGGGTGAAGCAGAAGGAAGTGGGCCGGCGGGTGAAGCAGAAGGAAGTGGGCCGGCGGGTGAAGCAGAAGGAGGTGGGCCGGAGGGTGAAGCAGAAGGAGGTGGGCCGGAGGGTGAAGCAGAAGGAAGTGGGCCGGAGGGTGAAGCAGAAGGAAGTGGGCCGGAGGGTGAAGCAGAAGGAAGTGGGCCGGAGGGTGAAGCAGAAGGAAGTGGGCCGGAGGGTGAAGCAGAAGGAAGTGGGCCGGAGGGTGAAGCAGAAGGAAGTGGGCCGGAGGGTGAAGCAGAAGGGAGGGGGGCCGGAGGGTGAAGCAGAAGGGAGTGGGCCGGAGGGTGAAGCAGAAGGGAGTGGGCCGGAGGGTGAAGCAGAAGGGAGTGGGCCGGAGGGTGAAGCAGAAGGAAGTGGGCCGGAGTGTGAAGCAGAAGGAAGTGGGCCGGAGGGTGAAGCAGAAGGAAGTGGGCCGGCGGGTGAAGCAGAAGGAAGTGGGCCGGAGGGTGAAGCAGAAGGAAGTGGGCCGGAGGGTGAAGCAGAAGGAAGTGGGCCGGAGGGTGAAGCAGAAGGAAGTGGGCCGGAGGGTGAAGCAGAAGGAAGTGGGCCGGAGGGTGAAGCAGAAGGAAGTGGGCCAGAGGGTGAAGCAGAAGGAAGTGGGCCGGAGGGTGAAGCAGAAGGAAGTGGGCCGGAGGGTGAAGCAGAAGGAAGTGGGCCGGAGGGTGAAGCAGAAGGAAGTGGGCCGGAGTGTGAAGCAGAAGGAAGTGGGCCGGAGAGTGAAGCAGAAGGAAGTGGGCCGGCGGGTGAAGCAGAAGGAAGTGGGCCGGAGGGTGAAGCAGAAGGAAGTGGGCCGGAGGGTGAAGCAGAAGGAAGTGGGCCGGAGGGTGAAGCAGAAGGAAGTGGGCCGAGGGTGAAGCAGAAGGAAGTGGCCGGAGGGTGAAGCAGAAGGAAGTGGGCCGGAGGGTGAAGCAGAAGGAAGTGGGCCGGAGGGTGAAGCAGAAGGAAGTGGGCCGGAGGGTGAAGCAGAAGGAAGTGGGCCGGAGGGTGAAGCAGAAGGAAGTGGGCCGGAGGGTGAAGCAGAAGGAAGTGGGCCGGAGGGTGAAGCAGAAGGAAGTGGGCCGGAGGGTGAAGCAGAAGGAAGTGGGCCGGAGGGTGAAGCAGAAGGAAGTGGGCCGGAGGGTGAAGCAGAAGGAAGTGGGCCGGAGGGTGAAGCAGAAGGAAGATGGCCGGAGGGTGAAGCAGAAGGAAGTGGGCCGGAGGGTGAAGCAGAAGGAAGTGGGCCGGAGGGTGAAGCAGAAGGAAGTGGGCCGGGTATGGGCGGAGGGTGAAGCAGAAGGAAGTGGGCCGGCGGGTGAAGCAGAAGGGAAGTGGGCCGGAGGGTGAAGCAGAAGGAAGTGGGCCGGAGGGTGAAGCAGAAGGAAGTGGGCCGGAGGGTGAAGCAGAAGGAAGTGGGCCGGAGGGTGAAGCAGAAGGAAGTGGGCCGGAGGGTGAAGCAGAAGGAAGTGGGCCGGAGGGTGAAGCAGAAGGAAGTGGGCCGGAGGGTGAAGCAGAAGGAAGTGGGCCGGAGGGTGAAGCAGAAGGAAGTGGGCCGGAGGGTGAAGCAGAAGGAAGTGGGCCGGAGGGTGAAGCAGAAGGAAGTGGGCCGGAGGGTGAAGCAGAAGGAAGTGGGCCGGAGGGTGAAGCAGAAGGAAGTGGGCCGGAGGGTGAAGCAGAAGGGAGTGGGCCGGAGGGTGAAGCAGAAGGAAGTGGGCCGGAGTGTGAAGCAGAAGGAAGTGGGCCGGAGGGTGAAGCAGAAGGAAGTGGGCCGGCGGGTGAAGCAGAAGGAAGTGGGCCGGAGGGTGAAGCAGAAGGAAGTGGGCCGGAGGGTGAAGCAGAAGGAAGTGGGTCGGAGGGTGAAGCAGAAGGAGGTGGGCCGGAGGGTGAAGCAGAAGGAAGTGGGCCGGCGGGTGAAGCAGAAGGAAGTGGGCCGGAGGGTGAAGCAGAAGGAAGTGGGCCGGCGGGTGAAGCAGAAGGAAGTGGGCCGGCGGGTGAAGCAGAAGCAAGTGGGCCGGCGGGTGAAGCAGAAGGAAGTGGGCCGGAGGGTGAAGCAGAAGGAAGTGGGCCGGAGGGTGAAGCAGAAGGAAGTGGGCCGGAGGGTGAAGCAGAAGGAAGTGGGCCGGAGAGTGAAGCAGAAGGAAGTGGGCCGGAGGGTGAAGCAGAAGGAAGTGGGCCGGCGGGTGAAGCAGAAGGAAGTGGGCCGGAGGGTGAAGCAGAAGGAAGTGGGCCGGAGGGTGAAGCAGAAGGAAGTGGGCCGGAGGGTGAAGCAGAAGGAAGTGGGCCGGCGGGTGAAGCAGAAGGAAGTGGGCCTGTGAGAGCCATTCCTGACTCGCTTTGGTTGCAGGCTGTACATATATAATGGGGGTATAGTGTGTATGGATTTCCTGTACCGCAATATCTGCAGAAAGTTCAAACAATTCATATGTTCATTTCATAAAGCTACAGCAGCATTTCTTTACGTCTTCAACGAATCCTTCTTTTGACGATAGAGTAAAACCGCGTATCACTTATCCAAGTTGTATATGAGTAGCAGCGACTTTCTGGGAACCAGTGACAGAGCAATGGTGGGGGCATGTGTGTGCGTGGGAAAAGGGCAGATGCGATGCATGATGCTGCGCACTTGAGCTCCAATCGAACCACCTCCTGTTTGTAACGCCTCTCGAGTCATTCGCCTTCACCCCTTGCCTCTCAACGCTTCTCACA